CTCCTTCCCGTGGGACCTTGTCCCTGGCACAGCCTCCTTCCCGTGGGTTGCCCCGCATTGTTCTAGTACCGCCTTCCTTCTCCTTTTCTCTCTCGGTGTCTCCGTCCCGTTCCTCTACATGGCTGTGTGTTTGTTGGTCTCTGGCCACCCCTCTGTCTTCCTGGCTCAACTCTCTCTCTCTCTCTGCATGTCTCTGTGACGCTTTGTCACTGTGTATCTTCCTGGCCCACCGTCCCTGGCCCCCCACGCCCCTCCCTCCTTCCTGCCCCTTCCCTCTTAACAGATGTTAACCACCACACTCATGACTGGGCCAGCACAGGTGTGGAGCTTCTGCAGGCAGCACTTTCTTGGTCTGTACACCTGGGTGAAGCTGTCAGACTTCCTCCTGTGTGACCCCCGCCCCCCCATTTACCCTGATGGCATTGCAGCCACCCCAGGTGAAACGAGGCCATCACCAGGCACACACTCCCTGCCCATCCAGAGCCAAAAGGTAGGGAGCTGTCCGTTCAGCACCAAAGCCTGCCCTCTAGTCTCGCAGAGCAAGTGCCCACAGCCAGTGTGCCCCGTGTCCAACCAGAAAAGGACGTACACTTGTCTGCTGAGGCCCTGAGTCCTGTCAGGTGAAGGGGAGAAGCCCACTGTCAGAATGGAAATAACTGAGCTTTCTGTGGCCCATTCATGACAAGCCAGGCCCTAAGGTAGACACACTGGCCCAGTGTCTCACTAATGCTTAACAATCTTCAAGCCCAAGACTGTCCCCGGGCTCAACTGAGATGACACTGGGCCCCAGTGGCCAGGGTGACTTGCCCAAAGCTCCTCAAGTGCAATCCCAGGTGGTCTGTGTTCTTTACACTACTCCAGCAGGTCCTCTAGACTATGTCAGAGACCCATCCTCCTGCCACCCTAGCTGGAGAAGCTGGTACAGGTCTCCAGAGAGACACTCCAGAGAGGGAGTCTGGCTTCCATGAAGGGGTCTTCCAAGGAGCAGACACAAATTTGGACAATAAACTTCCTGACTGGGGCGCCTGGGTGGCTCAGTCGGTTAAGCGTCTGCCTTCGGCTCAGGTCATGATCTCAGGGTCCTGGGATCGAGCCCCACATCAGGCTCCCTGCTTGGCGGGAGTTGGCTTCTCCCTCTGCCGCTTCCCCCTCCCCCGGCTTGGCTCTCTGACTCTATCTGTCAAATAAATAGATAAAATCTTAAAAAAAGAAACTTCCTGATCAAATTTCACACAAGACAATGTTTTAAAATTGAGTTAATGTGGAGTTGGGGAAAGTGTTGGTGTAGAAACAGGACACAGGACAGAAATTATCAGGCCCTTGTCTGAGAGAGGAGCTCATGGTGAACAGGGTTTCTCCACAACCAGTGCAGAGAATGATGTTATTGGATCTAAACGTCCTGATGACCCAGACTCTTCTGGAGAGAGCCCAAGAGACTGTAAAGGGAGCACAGAGGAATCCTGGGCAGGCAGCAAGGAGAGCCTTTAAGGGGCGTGGAGGGGTAGCAGGGCAGAGATATGTACCTTGGTCATTGGCTTCAGGAGGCTGGGAGGGAAGTGGGCTAGATGTGTGCAGGCCTCAAAGGGGATTTTGGCTTGACATGTCAATTTTATTTTTTTTACAAGCATAATCTATTTGTGTATTTCTTGTGCTATTAAAAGTTAATTTTATTTATTTTTTTAGAATCATAGAGTTTTTAAAAAGTTTTTTAAAGTATTTATTTGAGAGAGAGAGAGAGAGAGAGATTGAGAGAACGAGTGGGGGGAGTGGCCGAGGGAGAAGCAGACCCCCCAAAGAGCAGGGAGCCCGATGCGGGACTCGATCCCGGGTCCCTGGGATCATGACCTGAGCTGAAGGCAGACGCCCAACTGACTGAGCCACCGAGGCGTCCCCTAAAAGTTAATTTTAAAAAGGGGGAGAGGATTACCTCATACTAACGTGCTGGGGAGTTAGAAGGTGTAAGACCGGGTAAAGCCAGCTCTTCAGAAGCAGCAGACCAGGAGACATTTGGGCATTTGGAAAGGCTAAGGAAATAGACAGCCCTGTGCTCAGAGGGAGGGTGAGGAGGGGAACAAGAAGGGGTCTGGGTCAGGGGGGCATACTTGGATCCTGGGAGAGGCCAGGAAGAAAGGGGCTTGGCTGACCTTGCCACCACCTGCCTCCCTGGCAACAGACACTGCCTCTGCCACCTTCCAGGCAGCCCTTCCTCACCACATGTGGAAACCTCCAAATGGGTTTACCATACATGCCAGGAGCTTGGGGCTCACAGGTTCTCAAGCTCCTCTCTACCTTGAGCCTGAAGTTTTCCCAGGAAAATGAGCTGCACATTTATTACAGAGGAAGAACAAGTTTATGGACAAATGTCAGGGGACACCCTTCCAAGTACCTGTTGCCTGAGTATGAAAGGAGGTTGGCACCAATTTAGGGTGCAGGATGTGGAGCTTGGGCAGGTGTGGGCACCGCATTGTCAGGACACAGGGGAGAAGGTTGGGGGGTACTGGAGACTAAAGTCAGAGCTCTCTGAGGGCATTGACCAGCCCAGGGGACCAGTGTCCAACTAGGAAGTGAGGGACTGACTATGTCTTGCAGCTGGTAATAGGGATGCAGCTCAGCGTCTGATGGTCATGGAGATTCCCCAGGTTGGTTTCTCCTGGGCTGATGGCCCATGAGGAGCTTCCTTCCCAGAAGACTCATCCTAAGTAGCCAAGTGGGAAGGGGCACTCCCCCCACCCCAGGAGGGAGCTTGGGAGTGAGACTTGCTGTGTGGTCTGGCTGCAAGTTGGAGGGAACTGGACAGCAGGGAGGGAAATTGGCAAATTTTCAGACATTGAGCAAGGGGAAGCTCACACATGGGGCTGGAGAGCAGGGCTGGGCCCAGCAGCTCACAACACAGGAGGTTACACCTATGTCCTCAGAACTGGAGGGGCTTAAAGCTCATGTCTCACTGCAGAGGGAAGAGGTTGAGGCCCAAACCCATCTAGGCACCTCTCCATCAACAGAGCTCAAGCCAGGAAGCCCCTCTGCAGCTTGGGGGCATGCTGTTTCTCCCCCTCGCCAGGACCCTTCTCTTCCTTCCCCATCACTGCCTTCAGGGAGTCGTTATAAGCAAATCTCTGGCATGAGCTGGATTGCTTTCATCTCCCTCTTCCTCTTCATACTAAATGTTAAATATGCAAAAACGCACATTGGCTTTTTGGATGCTTAGATCCTAGGTGAGCAAGAGTGAGAAGGCACCAGATCAGCCGACAGTGGCATGGTAACCATAATGGCAGCACCCCTGAGGTGGGTGCATTACATCCATACTCCCAACTGACCCTCAAGACCAGCCAGCACTTGTCAGATTCATTTCTACTGAGGAAAAAAAAAAAAAAAAAAGAGAGAGAGAGCGAGCAAGGAGCCCATCCAGAGTCACACAGCATGACAGGATGGGAGCCTGATCATGAGCCCCAGCCTCTGGCTGCACTTTCCTGTTGGGAGTCTCATGGTGGTGGGGGTGGGGGGTTGTCTATCCAGAACTGGGAAGGCAGGGCGCCCACAGATGCCCACTCACCCCTAGAAGGGTCCTGGAGGCTGCTGTGAATCGCTTCCTGGCAGATGGAGCTCATTGCCCCCCAGGCTGCCCCTCTCACTAGTCAGAGTCACGTGCAACGTGCTGGGAGCCCAGCATGGCAGGACGCGCCAGCAGATTCACCTCCTCTGGGGAGGAAACTCTGGGAAATGTGGCTGCAATAGTCACACTGCCTGGCATGGACTGGGCACCCATCTCTTGTCAGGCACTAGGCCAAGCACCTTTCCTGGAATGCCTTGTTCATCTCTCAGTACAAGTCCATGGGAGGCGCTGTCACCATCACCTCCATGCACTTAAGGCCTGAGAGCTTAGGGAGCACGGACGAGCCCTCTCGGCTCAACAGAGTTGCATAAGGAGATAAATATGAGCAAGACTCTACAAAAGTGTGTGAAGAGCTGAGTGTGTGGGAAGGACACCAAGAGATGGCCACGTCTCTCCAAGTGAGTCCCAGTGACATAGCCCATCAGCAGATGCTCAAGGGAAAGGTGGTGGGAAAGTCAACAGAGGAAGAGAAAGCTAAGGTCAATCTTGTGGTGACTACAAGGTCATAGCAGAAAATGACTCTTCACCCTAGTCACCAAGACCAAACGAAGCCCACCAGTGAGCCGAGGCAGACAGGCCACTGAGGCGTGGAGCACCAGAGGCCACTCCAATCAGAGACTTCTTTTAACCAAGAAGCCGTAGCTGGGATTCACTTAAACTGATTTTGGCCACAATTACTGGTCTGCTCACATAGCCACTTCTGGGTCAAGCCACCTGCCTATCAAATTTTTATGAAGGTGGGCATAGGCATGCACACATGTGGGCTGCACTCTCTCTGGGGCAGCCCTGACAGTAAAACAGGAAAGGTCCATCCCCACCTGACTTTGTCAGGAGGCAGTTCTCCGGGCTGGCTCACGGCACATCTATGAGGCAGTGGCCGTGCTGATCAACACTGATTGCGCTTATGGTTTCCCTTTTCACACCAACAGCAACCTGGACACCCAGAAAAATCCTGGGACCAAGCATGGGTCAGCAGCACCCCAAAACCTGGCAAAGGAGGGCTCATGTCAGGGGGCTTTTGAGGTCAGCACATCTGCGCCCACCTGTGGTGGTCATCAACAGTGCAGCTTCGGCTGCATCCCCTCACCACCTAATCTGTCTGCTTACCTGTCAGATGAGACCTACTGAGCAGGGGTTTTACTAAGAGAAAAGGCTGAGAGCATCTCCCACCAGTGGTTGCTCATTGTCCCCCACTCGGGCACAGACCGGGGCCTGAAGCCCTGCCTCAGTGTGGGACTGGACTAGCGCTCTGGCCACGGGAAGGAAAGACCACCCTCAGTTCCTGCCCAAAGCTGAGCCCAATATCTCTGAGGAGGTCAACAAGACAGAGCAGGGGGCAGATGAAGGCCAGATGGACAAGACCCTCATGGTCTGTGTGCAGGAGGGGTGTGGTCAGTGACACATGTGGTCCCCTCCTTGACAAGTGCAGAAGTCACCTGGGGCCTGGGACCCACAGGGCCTGAGAAGCTGGTCAGGGCAGGGCACATGTGAGTGCGTGGAGCCAAACTGTGTGCCACTCCAGAGAGAATCAGGCTAGCTAGGGAGAGGGGACCCCCAGAATGGAGGGAAGGCTGGGCTGGGAGTAGAGTTCTGAGTCCAGGGGGAAATGGGGTGGAGGTGGGGAGCCACTACCCTGATGTCCCTGGCGATGGAGTGCAAAGACGAAGTTGGTCCCGGGGCGGCCAGACAGGCCAGAGCGTTCCTGGGGAGAGCAAGCCCCATGTCCTCACGCCCAGGGTCACCTGGCCCCATGTCCACCCCTCCGCCAGAGCCGCGCCTGGCTCAGGTGTGAGGGGAGGGTCGCAGCCTTGCGGGCAGTGGATCCGCAGCTTGGGAGGCGGGGCTGTGGGGGAGGGAGGGGCAGACCCCTCCTTGCTGGGAGGACTTGGAAACTGCAGCGGCCCCTCCTCCATCCAAACCCCGCTGCGCAAAGGGCGGTGGCTTTTTCGACCAAAGCAGGTGGTACCATGTCGCAGAGCGGTCCCCAAGCCCGGAGCAGCGAGGGGAGGGGACGACCACGCTAGACGCGGGCGCGGCTCCGCTCGCTCCCGGCTGGGTTTCTCCTCCCCCGTCCTTCCGCAGCGTCCCTCCAGCCCCCAGGGCGCTCCATTGGCGCAGATAACGGCCTGGGCTCGCTGGCAATGGGTCCTACCCTCCTAACCCCCACCCTCGCGAAGGCGAGGTCGGACCAGGGTCTGCGGTAGACAGACGCCTCGGGGGACACTGTCTACACCTCCCCAGCGCGCCCACCTGGGGGCACGATCCCGCGCCCGGACCCTCGGAGCCACCCTGCCACAGTCGCGCCCGGCCTGACACGGCGGCCACGGAAGGGGCAATGCGCCCTCGCTCCGGGTGCTCGCTTGGGCGCGGCCCCTGCCCAGCGGCCCACGCCCACCGCACCCGCGCCGCAATCCTCGCCCTTGGGGCACCAGGTGTTCCCAACCCGTTGGCCCTGAACCCCGGTTCTTGCGGGTTCGGCCCGGCCGCGCCCCGCGCCCTTACAGAGCGTGAGGTCTGAGATGTGAAAACAGAGTCCGCCACCGGCCCCAGCTTCAGGCGAGGCCAGACAATGGCCTCAGCTCAGACCCGCCACCGTCCCAGGAAGACCGCGTCCCGGGCGCCTACCGGACAGGGTGCTGGCCATGGTGCTGGCGGCGCGGAGGCTGCGGAAGGCCGGGAGGCGCGGGCGGCGGCTGGAGCTGCAGTCGGCGAATGCGGCAGTGCTGGGGAGGGGAGGGAGCGAGGGCGGGCGGGAGGCGGGCGCAGAGACGGAGAGGGAGAGAGGGGGAGAGAGCGAGCGGGAGAGCGAGAGAGTGAGAGAGAGAGCGCTCGAGCAAGAGCATGTGCGAAAGCCTGGCTGCAGGCCGTCAGAGGAAGAGGAGAGGAGGGAGGGGAGGATGGGAGGGAAGGAGGGGAGGGGAGAGGCCACCCTGGGACACAGGGTGGAGCACTGCAGACACATGCCCACCCACCCATTGCTTACCTCTTGGACCCACCGCCCCAACTTGGCTTTGTGCAGGCTTAGGGGGATGGTGGAGACATGCCCCGTTCCCCAAGGTGGGCATGGCAGGAGAGGAGGGGCCCCAACATCAGGGTGGGGCTGGAGAGCTCTTCACTAAAGCCACCCAAGGCTGGGAGGTGCCTTCTGTGTGCCCAGGTCCGTGCTGAGGGGAAAGTGTGTCATAAGAGTGGGGGTAGGGATCGGTCTGGAAGGCCTCCAAGGAGCATCCCAGAGGACGAGTCAATTCTGGGGCAGAAAAGAGAGTAAATGGGGGTGGTGAGGTCTAGGGACAAAGGTTTTGAAGTGAGATAGAGAGGAGTTCCAGCCACAGCTCTGACACCCACTTGCTGTGTGACTGGGAGCGAGTTTCTGACTTTGTGGCTCTGTTTCTCAAGGGTAAGATACAGCAATAATGCCAGTCTCCAGATGGAGAAGAGAGGTAGAGTTGGTGAGTGTGGGGGTCAGGCCTCCCCTCCTCTCTGGGCTTAGGGTTCGGATTGATGTCCCCAAAGGGAGAGCCTTGCAGAAATGGTGGGCCCTTTCCTTCAGTGACCATCTCACTTTGGGCCTGGGAAGTCAAATGGATGAAGTGTCATTCCCATTTTAGGGACGGAGCCACGGAGGTCCAGAAAAGCACTTGCTCCACAAGCAACTAAGTCTTAGAGTCAGGAATAAAACTGTGGGAAACCTCAGGAGCCTGCAGAGGGGTGAGGAAGGCTCAGAAAGGGGACAGACAGGGACAGGCCTAAGGGTCAGAGTCTGTGTGAAGCAGGCCCAGCAGATGGGTATACACCTCGAGATGCATACATGGGGAGTGTGGGACTGGTTACATCTGTTCTGTGGTCCACACAGTGTCTGATCCACTGTAGGTAGCCCATAAACCTGCAAGAGCAGACTCTCCATTCAAATTCGTTGACTTGATCAAGATCCTGTGCCTGCTGAGTGGGGCTGGTTATGGCCAGCCTTGGTGTCCATTTCCTCTCATCTTTCACAATTAGGCTCAGTACATGACATTTATAAGTTACAATTTATCGCAGGGGGCAGTCTCATGTGTGATGTGTGACCAGGCCAGCTCATGCATCAGCTCAGCGTCTCGGGGTCCTCAGCTCTGGTTCTGACCCAGGTGGCCCTGAGTCCCTGGGTCCTGCCTTACCTTCCTTGGCCTTCTGGGAGCACCAACACTTCTGCTTTTAGAAGATGGGCGCTGTGGAAGTGAAGAGCAGGCCTACTGGCTGGAAGTGGCAGGCTTTGGGCAATCTACTAACCACCAACCCTGTACTTTGTAAAGTGTGGATAATCAAAGAACTTATCTCAGAGGCCGTCCATGCCTGCATGCATGGTCCTGAAGGGGTGAGCTCTTCTCCAAGCTCCCTGCTGAGAGTCTAAGACAAACCCTCTAGGCCCCCTCACCAGGTGGAACAGATGGATGGGGTGGGTGCCAGCAAGCCACCGGCTTTCCGAAGCATGCTCGATCACACGTCTGGGCATTAAACAGAGCCCATGAGAAGCCCTGGGGTCGGCGTTGCCAGCCGGCTGTGGGCCGTCTCTATCAGCCTTTTGGAACATGCTGGAGTCGTCTAGACAAGTATCTACCCCCTAAAGTTGTGCAGGCCCCGGATCCCACTTTTGACTGCCAGCTGGTGCTAGGTACCAGGACACTGGGTAGCAAGGCGCCTGGGCAGTAAGGAGAAAAGCAGCTAAGGCTCTCCAGGCCGCGGGCCTGAGCAGCCATTGGAATCACGCGAAACCAATCCGAAGGTGTGTGCAATTGTCCGGGCCATTCAGGTGACTTGGCCCCGGGAGGGGTGGTGGGATGGAGACTCTGCGGGCATGGCATCGAGGGAGGAGACGGCTCGAACCCCAGGTTTCTGCCCGCGGCTGATGGAGGCGCCGTCCTCCAGGCTCAGGGTCCACCGAAGGGGCAGGGTGGGGCCCGGCACCGCGTGCGCGCACCCCTCGGCTGCGGAATGGTTTCCGCCGGGAACCACGCCCAGCGCACCGGAATTGGGAGCGGAAGTGCAGCGCGTTCAGCGACGATTGTCTTAGCCCGCGAATTCCGAACCGGCTGAGGGCGGCGGAGACGCGGTGGCGGTGCCTTGGCTGAACTGGGGTAGATTCCTGGGGACCCCCGGCGGCGGAAGGCTGTCCGCGGAGAAAAGTGAGTCGTGAGTCGCAGAAACTCCGGAACTGGCCCTTTGACCCGCGCGCTCCTCCCGAAGCTGCAGCTCCCGGCAGGCCCCGCGCCGCCCCGGGCCCGCGCGCCGGTCTCTCTGCCGCGGTGCGTTCTGGGGCCGGTGGTTTTCCTGTGCGCATGGGCGGGGCCCCGCGCGCGGCGGAGCGGGTCTCCCGGCGGGGGTGTCTCCCAGAGTGGCAGGGGTCCGGGCGGGGCGGGGGTCTCCGGGCGGGGCGGGCCTCCGGGCGGGGCGGGGGGGGCCCGGGGGGGGCGGGGCGGAGGGGTCCGGGCGGGGCGGGGGTCCCCGCGACGCCGTTCTCGTCGTGACCGGGCCTCGCAGGCGGGGCCGCAGTCAGTGTGGTGAACTGTCCGCCGGCCCCGGGGCGCAGGCCGGGGATCTGGCGTCTCGGGCTCTGGCGCAGGTAAGCGAACTGCTGCTGTGCGCGGCTCGGGCTCTTGTTATTCTGGGAGCCCAGCCGCTTCTCCCCGGGCAGGATGGGGCCGCTTGGGGCCGCTTGGGGCCGGAGAGCAAGGCAGGGCCCACGTGTAGGTTCTTCCTCTCCCCCAGCTCCTCGCCGTAGGTCTCACAGACTTGCCTTCGGACCTTGGACCCGAGACGGACTGCCGGCTTGGTGAAGTGGCCTGGTGTGCCCGGAGAGCTGGCTGCAAACAGTCTCGTCGTCCCCGTCTCTGTGCTGTAGGGCTTCCCGTGGAGAACACTGGCATGTCCCAGCGCCGCGGGCTGGCATCACTTACCTGCAGTGGCTGAGATCCCGAGATGTTCCGAGGGGGTTTTGTCTCCCACACTCACACAGCCTGCGTCTCGGCCAACCTCTGTGCCCTCCTGAGAACAGGCCAGCATGCCCAAGATAGCTCTGAATGGTGTGACAGTGGATTTCCCTTTCCAGCCGTACAGATGCCAGGAGGAGTACATGGGCAAGGTCCTGGAGTGTCTGCAGAAGGTACAGCTGCAGACGGGGGCATTTGTGTCCTGGGAGTGGGTCAGCGTGGGCAGAGCTTCCGCAGAGTCCTAATGTAATGCACTTCGACCTTCCATTCACTCCTGCTGAGCCCTACTGGGCAACAGGCCTCCTTTTGAACACAGGACTCAGTCATAAACGGGGCCAGTGTTCTAGGAGAGACAGTAGACAAGTAGAAAAAGACAGTTCTTGCTGTGAAGGAGAGTCGTTAGGTCATAGGCTTGGGAGCACCTTGAGGGCCTCCCTGAGGAGGTGGCGTTTGAGCTGAGGCCAAGTGTGGAGGAGCAGTCAGCCATTTGAGGATCTGGAAGAAGTATTTCCACGTGGAGGGTTAGTCAGTGCTTAATCATTCTGGAAGGTCTTTAAGTCTCAGGGGTGTGCAGAAAGGCAGAAGGGCGCAGGTAGCTTTCTGCTGACTTTCTTAGCCTGTTCTTTTGTACCCTGCTCAAGCTCCCAGCTCCTGAGCGCTGATTCTGCAGCTGGGCTCCTGGCTGCTGTTGTGGGCACAGACTAGACTCCTCCAGGGAGGAGCCTAGCACCCATTCCTGGGAGCTGGGAGCACAGTTTTGCCGATTTGCTTATGTGTTTCCCCAGGTTTGCTGCTCAGGCTCCCATCTGAGATGTATGTAGCTCATCAGGTTTTTCTCAGTATAAAACATCTACATCCAAAGTTAATAGAGAACAAAGTTCTGTTTGGAGGTGTGGCGCCTACTTAGTCATCTTATTATTTATATTCGGCTGAAAAATACTGCTGAGTTCTGAGGGATGCTCTGCAAATTGTTTGCTAATGAGGGCTGAATTAACACATAGCTTCTGGTTTGAGAGTGGAAGCACTGGCAGATTACCCACTGTTCCTCAGGCCTTTGCCGCCTGTGGGGGGGCTCTGCCTGAACAGAGCTGTCCCCTGGCCGGTGGACTGTGTGCTCTGCAGTGCCCTTCTGCTTCCACATGACCTTGTTCCTGATCCCACTCAGAAAGTAAACGGCATCCTGGAGAGCCCCACCGGCACGGGAAAGACGTTGTGCCTCCTGTGCACCACACTGGCCTGGCGGGAGCACCTCCGCGACGCCATCTCTGCCCGCAAGATTGCCGAGAGGGCCCGAGGGGAGCTTTTCCCCGATCGCACCTTGTCGTCCTGGGGACTTGCGACTTCAGATGGAGACACCACAGGTGAGGCTCCTTTCCTCCCCTCTGGGGTCTCCACAGAGAGGTAGTGAAGGGATAGAGTGGGCTGGTGAGGCTCAGCACACCAGAACATCGTGGAGCTGTGACCTGTTCTGCTTCCTTGTGCCTGGGCAGCTTGCTACACGGACATCCCGAAGATCATTTATGCCTCCAGGACCCACTCACAGCTCACTCAGGTCATCAGTGAGCTTCGGAACACCTCCTATCGGTAGGTCAGGCGCTGCTCAGCCCTGCCTCTGAGTTAAGGGGGTTTGGCATTGGCAATGTGGTTGATGGTAGTGTTCTGCCCAGACCCCACCCTGGATCCCAGAGACCCACAGTGTCTGCTCCAGTGTGCAGGACTGTGGTGAGGCCAGGCTGTTTCTGCTGCCCGCT